CGCCTTAATACACGCAACACCCTTTAAAAAAGAGAGTGTGATAACTTACGCTCAATTATTTAGAAGCGTAGGGCACAGAATAAGGGTAAAAGAGCTGTTTTAAAGGGTCAATTCCACATTTCAACAGAAGAACTCCAGTCGCAAGTTATAGAAGCAGAAGCAGCAACAGCAACAGCTTCACAGAGGCCTAGAACAACACCACGACCTATAAACGAGGCTATAATTGAGGAAATAGATGAAGAGAGCGAAGAAGAGCCTTCTGAGGATGATATAGATGAATTAGGGTGGTAGTAATTAGATTATTACGATTTTTTGAAGCTTTTAATAGGGTGGTCCTAACCCCACTACCGACATTACGCCATTACCGACATTACGCCACGACCTACGTTATAGCTAGAGTTAAGATGCATAATGACAGCCTAAATCATGTTATGTAGTTAATATCTAAATTGCTATATAAAATATTTATATAGTAAAACTTAAACTATATATAATTACTTAATAAGAATAGCTTACAATCTAGCAAAATTAATAACGATATATTAATATATAAAGAGTAATAGTCTAAGAGGATTAAGCTTTATAAGCATTATTACAAAAGTTATTAACGTTTTAATTTTGGTCATGTGACCTGGATTTTGGTGGGGTGAGTAAAGTAGCCGGTTACACCATGTAGCCGGTTACACCACGACCTACGTTAAGCCCCTATAAAGCTAACACTCGCTTTCCTATGTACTAGAACTAACTATCTTAATTAAGTGCTACGTTATAGAACTAACGTAAGTCGTGGCGTAACGGGTGTAATGGCGTAACGGGTGTAGTGGGGTTAGAACCACCCCATCAAAACCATTAAAAAATCGCAATAATTCAATTATTACTATGCTAATTCATCTACATCATCATCAGAAAGCTCCTCTTCGCTCTCCTCGCTCTCTTCTTCACCCTCACTATTAGTTAAGTTAACTATTGAGGTAGGTTGTGGTGTTTTTGAGATTCTTGACCTCTGGGTTGCTGCCTCTGCCTCAATAACTTGCGACTGTAACTCTAGAGTTGAGATGTGGAATTGACCCTTCAAAACAGCTCTCTTACCCTTATTCTGTGCTCTACGCTTCTGAATAATTGAGCGTAGGTTATCACACTCTCTTTTTTGAAGGGCGTTGCGTGTATTAAGTCGTTCTGACTCATCTGCTAACTTATTGATATATCGCTT